TTATTATTATTATTATTATTATTATTAATTATTGTTATTATTATCATCATATTTTTAGTTGTGCTGCTTCCAGTGCGCCTGCCTAGTGGATGTAGTGACTCGCTGCTGCTGTTTGATTCGCTGCCTGTGAAAACACAGCCACTCTGCTGCTCCCAGAATTCAACAGGCAACAAAGGAAGAAAGGAAGAGGCCGTGAGCTACAAAGAGCTAGCCGACCTAGGTTAAAAGATGTCTCACGAATTGGGCCGTTTTCACTCTCCAGTTTCTGCCCTTGTTTAAAGACTAGCAAAGTCCGCCAATGGCCGTGTTGTTATACTTTGTTGTAGTGCAAAACTGAATGGAAGGGACGGCGGCGGGGATGTTTGCGACATAAAAACGCTACTAAAGCTAACTGGTATTGGTAGCAAGGTAGCACTAGCTAGGCTAACGTTAGCCAACAAGGAGCAAACATCTGACCGTCGCGTTTTCATTGATCATCCCCTTTAAAAATATGAATTTCTTTGGACAATAATTGAGCCAGGTCCATCAAGGTGAGATTATATATTTTTTGCTTTTCTATAAGACGTCTAAAAATTACTTTGCACAGCTTTGCTAACAGCAGTTTGATATTTGCTTCCGCGCTCTCTTTACATTTGTGAAATAACGAGCATCTCTTTGTGCATTTCTTTTTAGTGGTATGTATTTATTTGTATTTTTTTTTTAAGTGTAACTAGTGGGGAAATTCTTCTACTTTAAACTTGCAACATAACTGGAAAGCTAAGAAGCAAAGCTAACCTCTAAGCATGCTTTGTGTCCCCAGGCCTTTTCATGTCAGGGCATACCTGGCTAACTTTAACGGTACATCTACAATCATACAATCGTTTAATGTTTTTTTTTATCATCTAGCACAATTTTAACAATGCAGTTGCTTGTTTTAATTAACATTTTTTCATATGAATTTGCTTCTGTTTATTTTAACAGGAAGAGTAAGGTGGTGGAGGAGGTGGAATCTGACCCATCCAACTGAGTCACCATTTTCCTGCAGATAATGGTGAGTAATCAGATTGAAGCTGTTGATTATCAGTTGGCTCTGTTTAAGAGTCTCACGAGGCAGACATATCTTTGTGGTTGTAGTCCTGCTTGTTAAAAGCGGACCTGACTGTTGAAAAAGTATACAATTCGAACATTTTCCTATGGACTTGTTTTGGTCTTTGGCCTTTTTGATGCAAGATAAGCAACTTTAGTGTGGATTTTAAGTACCTGTCATGTTCTCCAAACCTAGATGGATTTTGCAAAACAATTTTGTCAAGAATTGTAATTTATCCTTGCCTATAGTGTCTTTAAAATTTTCAAACTGCTATAAGCCTCACTAACCTCTTGACAGCTTTTATTATCTAGTGATCATGCCCTAAGCACACTGAATCTGATTTTGCATCTGATCCAACAGAAAACTGTCTGACAACGTTGACAGGATTTTCTGAAAAGGGGCTTGCATAGCTCCAACTGAGATAGACCCCCAGGTCTGTTATTGTTTTCTGTTTTTAAACTGGTTTCTTTTCTCCTACAGTGTTTAGATTCTAATCACTGCTGCACTCTAAATGGTAATTGTTAATTTCACTTTTATAAGCTGTATGCAATGGAATTTCGTTTTATACATATTCTGTGCATGCAAAATGGCAAAGTTTGTTCTAAGTTTTAGTCTGACCAAGCAGCAATTCAGCAGCATTTTTATGGGTTTGACAGGAAAAAAGACGTCGTTACAATGTAAAACACATCCGCTTTGGGGAAATTACAAAGTAAAATCTATCAATCACAGGGAAAGCAGTCAGGTTTGGAGTTGCAGAGGGACAGACCTGTGCATAATCAATCCATGAAACATAAAAAAAAAAAAATAGTTCAGGAGGACAGAAAACAGATAAAATAGTGATATCCTCTTTGAGGCTCACAAAAACAGAAGGAAAGTAGAGAAAAGCACAGCTTACCACTCTCCTCGAGACAGAAAATATACTTTGACAAATTTCAGGAGGTCAGAAAACTGATATAGTAAAATAGTGATCTTTGAGCCTCACAAAAAAATCGAGGGGCAGATGGTGCAGGTAACAACAGCTTATCTCTCTCCTCCTTTATGAAAAAAACAAAAACAATATAGTCGACAAACTTGACAGATCCCTCTCTGAGAATCACCTCTCACTACCTCAGCCGGCATATAAACCATCCCATGGCGTTTACTGCTGCGTTTTTCTTTCTTTAAATTTGGTTCCCATTATATTTTTAATAAAGGCCTATAAAAATTCTCGCTGTTGTAGTTTCATAGGTGCTACACAGACCTAAACGGGACTTTGCTCTATAGCTGCACTGTTTTTTGTTTTTTATAACCTTTCATAATCTGTCCTAGTCAAACATAGGAAATTGATTAAATTTCTGGATCTATGAAGTCCTCTCAAATCATCCTTGAAAAGGTCAGTTTAGGCTCAGTTTAATCTTGGTGGGTAGAGACCTGTTTCAGGTTCAAAATACTTTTATTCTAAAGTATTTTCTACTTTGTGCATATAGTTGGGCAGATTAAGTTGTTTCTGCAAATGTATCTTTTCTGGTTAGACATAATACATGTTCTATTATCCTCTTTTAATTTATTTTTTTCCATTACATTTTAATCAGGTTTTATTTTATACCATCTTATCATGTTTTATCTTAGATATATGGCAACACAATTCACTACAGCCTAAGAAAATCCCTGAATTTCTCTTTTTAAGAGTGTTGTTGTATAACTGATATACCTCTTTTAAACAAATGTTTGTTTATGCATATAGTATTAATAAACATACCCTTTTAGCAAAAGCATGAATTCAAATCTGAGAATTGCAGTTGTTTATATAGTTTCCTAGGATGCCTTTAATAAATAATCTTTTTGTTTTGAAAATTTGAGACATTTTTTGCAGTTATAGCAAAACACTCTGTGATGTTGTTTGACTTTACTGTAATTTTTCTCCTTTTTCTTTCTGTCATCATAATGCTCCCAATGTTTACAATTAAATTATTATATTATCTATCTATGATGAGGTGTATCTTGAGCGGTCAGCCGATTTGTGTGATTTGTTGGATGCTGAACATGGATGCATTGCTTCACAGCAAACCACCAAATGCAGTGAATGTGTCCTTTGCAAACTGCTAATGTTTATGCATTTTTTATGTTCTGCAGCTGCAAAGATATTGTTGCCTTTAGTTGAAAAAAAAACATATTGGATTTGATATTCTAAAGTTTTGCAGGACTGAAATAAACCCCACTTTACATAGCAAGGTATTTGTGAGACCTTGGGGAAATTATGCTTGAGCTCCAATCTTGTCTTTGGTAAAATCTATCTAATAGGATTTATTTTCTAATTGGAAAAAAACTTGTATAAAACAGTAAATAAAACATTTTATTATTTTGTAACCAACTATAATCAAACTAAGGTGTGTCTTTTTCTGTCTTCAGGGATTTTTGGATCCGCTGTATGGATGACTTGTTTCATGTGGCCTGATGGAAGGACGTTGTGGATAGTGCTTTCATCGGGATACCAGGAGAGCCGTCCCATGCCCCCACATTGGAGGGCCCGTCAGAATGAAGAAGATAAGTTTTAAGACGATCCGAAAGTCCCTCAACATAAAGGGCAAAGAGGAGGGCGACTTTGTTATGCTCCAGCAGCCTTCAGTGGCAACAGAGTTTTCAAAGGAGGAATCTCTTTTTGGCGGCTGCTACACCAAAGACCTTTCAGCGTGCGATCTCGGTTGCGAGGAAGAGAAAGGAGGTCAAAACAAAAGTCGATCGAAAAGCGAGGGTCTGATGGGGTCGTTAAAGAGGAGGCTTTCTGCCAAACAGAAGGCGAAAGCAAAGGGTGGCTCCTCGGCTTTGTGTTCGGTGGATGACGACGATGCATTTTCATCCTCTTCTGTGCCCATCAGCAATGAGGTGAAAGCCCAGCGACCGCTTAGATCGGCATCCTTACGGAGTCACCATTATAGCCCCTCGCCGTGGCCTTTGCGACCAGTCAACTCTGACGAGGCATGCATCAAGATGGAGGTTAAGGTTAAAGCTATGGTCCACTCTCCCTGCCCAAGTCCCAATTTAAATGGTGTTCATAAAGAATTTCATAACTTCCAGATGGAAGGGCTTTTTCAGGAACAAGCAGAGTCCATAAAGTATCTTCAACAACCACAAAATGGTGAGCTGCACCTAAACATTGATGAAAATGATGTGCCTGTGGTGCTGGGGTTGACACCCCAGGACTACATCCAGTACACAATGCCTTCAGATGATGGAATGTACCCAGAAGGGTCCCACTCCTTTTGCCTAGATAGCACTACTCCCATGGAGGTAGTGACAGAGGCAGACAACGGGTCCCTCCACACTGAGCAGGGACCAGATGAGCACGAACTGGTTAGTGGGTTGCCTGCAGATCTCTTCATGGAAACCTCAGTTAATAGTATTCTTTTAGGTTCTGCCGGGATGGTGCTCCAAAGCTCGCGGGCGGAGGTCCCACCTCCCCTAAGTCCTCTTCTGCCGCCCATGACGAGTAACGCACACATCCCTAGGACTTTTTCTAGCTTCAGCTCCACAGACAGCCAGGTAGCCGAGAGAGTAAGGCACCATCTCAACTTTGACCCAAGTTCAGCTCCCGGAGTCAGTCGGGTGTATGATTCAGTCCAGACAAGTGGGCCGATGGTCGTCACTAGTCTAACAGAGGAGCTTAAGAAGCTCGCAAGGCAGGGCTGGTACTGGGGTCCTATCACACGGTGGGAAGCAGAGGAGAAACTGGTTAACTTGGCCGACGGCTCGTTTCTGGTCAGAGATAGCTCGGACGACAGGTACCTGCTCAGCCTGAGCTTCAGATCCCAGAGCAAAACTCTCCATACACGCATCGAACACTCTAACGGACGCTTCAGCTTTTATGAGCAGCCTGATGTGGAGGGACACACGTCGATTGTTGATTTAATCGAACACTCCATCAAAGACTCGGAGAACGGAGCTTTTTGTTATTCCAGGTCTCGCCTTCCAGGGTCTGCAACCTACCCTGTCAGACTAACCAATCCCGTTTCTCGGTTTATGCAAGTGCGCTCCCTGCAGTATCTTTGCCGCTTTGTCATTAGGCAATATACAAGGATAGACCTCATCCAGAAACTGCCCTTACCCAACAAGATGAAAGATTACCTGCAGGAGAAGCACTACTGAGGAAAACGACAGGGCAGATAGCAGTTTGCACTTTTGTGTTCAGTTAAGATTTTAACACAAGGTTTACAGACAACCACAGTTTGAGACAGTTGGTTCTGATGGTTCTTGATTTATTTTTTTGACCCTGTCCATTCCAGTGTTCTGTCCGGTTTTATTTGCTGGTGTTCAGAAGGTTCTGGATCCAGCAACACGTATGTCCCTTTTCCATCCAAGGTTCCAGCTTCGCCCCACTCTGAATGCCTCCATTCCATTGACTCTTCCAAGTTCCACCTCAACAAAGTGTCTCCGAAATAAATCCTCCTGCAACCTCAGAGTTTGCAGGAGGATTTATTTCAGAAGCTCTTAGTGTTTTATTTCTCTTTAAACAATCGCATGAACAGTTTCACCATGGTTTATATCTGTTTCTGGGGAAATATATCTCTACAGCTGATTTTGTTTGCAGTCAGCTGACTTGGCTTAATAAATACAGAGCGCCTGTCTGCGTGTAATTCAGAATACTGATGTTTTTTCAGCCTTGAGGCATGGTTTATGATTTAGAAATGGTTAAAAAATGATCATCTTTTAGAAACCTAAAATGACCCCATTGAGAGTCCAATATGTTTTATCAAATGGTTTGAAAAGAAAACAAGATATGTTGCAAGCACAAACAAGCGAAGTAAGATATTTAAATTTGCATTTGGCTTCTAGGTTTAACCCGCTCCATAATACTTGCATAGTCGCTTTCAATAGTCTGGGTGATTTGTTGAAATCCACGGCTTGTCATTTTTTTCAGCTACCTCAAGTTACACCTTTCATTTCTACCCATCAACCTATCGCCGACATGCAGCTAGTCACGCATATTTTTATTTAACACATTGCGGACTGTTCGTCGCTTTTTAGCCATACTCCAGAGCAGGTCCCCCAAAAAAAGGAGCCACCGGGGCAGCAAAAAATGGATGAGTGGGGTGGAGCTGATGGAAAACGGGCATTCATCTATTCCAGAAATATAGCTGAGGGAAAAAGCAAAGTAAGCTTAGTTGGAAACAATGAAGTGCAGACATTTGGCAGTTGTGATGTATGATTATATGAACTGTCCAGCTGTGCAAATAGATAGAAATTTCCTTAATTATCTGCAGTGAAGTTGGGCCAGTGAGAAAAATAAAATTCCTTTTTGAATTAAAGATTTGTTGCTTTATTAACTGAAATGTCTTTTGCTGAAATGGTAACAAAAAAAAATGTTTGCTACAATTGGCATCTCTACAGACTGACTGCTTTTGTACATCTTTTGTCCAACAGCATTTCATTTTTTTTCAGCTTAACTATAGTCATGCAAATTGCAAAATAACATTTTGCAAATTGAAAATTTACATTTAAAACAATGTAAGGTCTAACGTATTTTTTGTCCTTAAGAACGGCGCCCTGAACAATAATTGAAATTCAATTCAGGTTTGTGTTGATGAAAATCCTGTATGGCTAAGTACTAAGTTCGTAACAAAAGAAGTTAACGCTGTGTAGCAAAAGATGTCCGAATTTGGTCAGAGTTTTTTTTTTAACAGTTAGGTCTGAAAATTAGCTTTAAAAAGTATGGCTGCATTTTGTCATTATGCAACTTTTAAGCCAACTGGTATTTCAGATGCTGGATTATAATGTGCTTTTTCTAGAAATGGCATCAACTAAATGAATGGATTAGAAAAATATTGTATCATTGAAACTAACCTTCTGCATTTGAAACTGCAAAATCTCCACTGCAGGTGTAACTTTTTTCACTAACGCTTGACTTGTCTGCATGTAGGGAAAGCTTTAAGACATGCTGAGTACTCCACATGGGAGAAGGTGTTAAAACAGAGAGAAAAAAAACAAACAGTATCAGAGGTTATAAATATATTTGCCTGCATAAAAGGCCTGCGCTCAATCATTGCACAAGAATCTGGAATCACCTGGAATTTGACCTTAATTAGCGTTGGAGATGCACCGAGAAAAAATGGTTTTGACCAAATTTTTTTAAATCTAGCAGATTTGTATTTTCTTTACAAAACAGGGATAAATGTAAGAACATTAAAACGCCCCTCCCTAGTGTCTTTGGCATGAGGGGTAGTCTTATGTTTTCTTGGGAGCTGGGGTGACATCACATGGTATGTGAGACAAGTATTTTATGAAATAAAAAAAATGAATGATCTTCAGATTTTTTTTTTTTAAAGTGAGCACAGTAAATATTAAAACAGCACCTGGCTGTCTAACATTTCCCAAAGAACATATGCCCTTAACTCAGATTTCCAAAAATGACAGATGGACGTAAGAAACTGTTAAAAAAAAAAAAAAATCTTTCTGTACTCCATTCAGCCTTCCTCTCTCTAAGCCTTGGTTACCTGTACATGTACAAATGACTGTTTCCTTTTATCTCGGTGCTTCCCATTTATTTTGAACGCCTTCCATCACAGACTTCCACACCGAATACTGTTAACACCATCTGTTTAATGTCAACGTCTGCTTTTCTAATCCGGCCAAAAAATGAAGGAATTGGAAGTTTCTGGTCATCTATTCCCGGGTCAGGACTGTTGAACATTGCACAGTATTGGGCGTTAGAGGATTTCTCGATGCATCTCTAATCCATAGTGCTAGCCGTACCCAATGCTTGAAAATACACTGACCTAGGAAAGATGTGCAGAATTTTGGGAAAAACAAAATTGGGGAAATCTTGATCAAGGAGTGTCCTCGATGTTGAATGGATGTCGAGGTTTTGACATGTGAAAAAAGTTCAATCAAACCTGCATACCGTCATTAGTGTCTAAAGATCTCAAGGTATTCGTTTCCTTCCCTCTAATTGCTTTTCATATCCTCTCAAGTCTGTCCTGTCAAAGCTGCACTACCGCATGTTATTTCTATACTCAGCTGATGGCGTCAGAGTAAAGGGAAGAGCACACAGTACCCTACGTAAGTGCTTTATACGGATAATTGACAGGGAATTGTCTCTTTATATGAATGATCATCCTTTTTTATTTTACATCAGTGTCCTTAAAAGTATTGGGAAATGGTCTTTGGTAGGTTTTTAGAGTAGTTTTAGCTGTAGTTAGCTGCAGGCTGTCCGAGGAAGCACAGTGGAAATTAGATAGGATCTTTTAAAAGGTGTTGCATGTTTAAACACTGAGCGATTTAAAGCTTTGAGTTGTATAGGAATGAAGGATTTAAGATGTGTTTTGGTTGTATAGAGAGATCTTTTTTTTTTGTCACAAATATGGGCTGGACTTTTTTTTTGTACAAGAAATGTATTTTCTTCCTTTTTACAGTGTTTGAGTTATTTCTTGTTTGTGACATTTGCCATCTGGGGGATGGGGCCGTACAAAAGGAATGTACGCTTGTCTGAGGTATCTTTTTTTTATTCTGTCTGCCTGCAGACCAGTTTCTGAAAGCATAGGGAACATAAGGACTACAATGACACATAATTTGCACTTGAACATTTGTTGAATCTCTCTTTGCCCCAGCCTTTCCCTCAGATGGTGATTTATAAGAAAAAGTCACAGATTTGTCATGTGTTTATATAACTGTAAGACTAAAAATGTTTTGTCATATCTGTGATTTTTTTTTTTTTTTTTTTTTTTTTTTTAAGGGGCCACATACCAGCATTATTTCAAAGCTATCCCTAATTGGCTGTCAAGGTATGGAATCACAGCGAGAATGTGGATGTAAATGTATTTTTACCCTCCAGTGTATGCGAGGACATTTTTCAGACAATGTCAGGCTCCTCTTACACAATGTTTAACCCATCTGAATTGTAATTCCCTCTTAATTTGAAATAATCATCTGATTATGACTCAGAAACCCTTTTCCGATGGTATGTTTGTTAATTAAATCCTTCAATGTTTGATTCCAGAGGTTGACGCTTGTTCACACTGCTGATTTGAATTAGTAACAGCTGTTAAGCACTTAACATGCTAAAAAAAATTTTTTTCTTTTTTTTTTTTTTCCTCTCATTTGTGCATCTCGGTGAGTGAAGATAATTGTTTACAGCATCATGTTTGGACAAAGCCTTCCCTTTTTTCCCCCCATTTTCCTCACATTAAGATATTGGTACAATTGAGAACATTTCTTTAATGTGTTTTACACATTTGTGCTGCTTTCGGATATCCTTGCCTTGTATTTAACAATGGTGGAACTAGAATGCTGTCGCTCTAGATGTATGTATAAATTTTGACTTGGTCGTCATCTTGGGAGAGCAGAGAAAAAAAACAATCTGTTAATGACTAGTCAATTAAATGAGAATTAGTATTAATTAGTAGAGCCTCTGTAGAATAACCAGTTTACTCCAGTTTACATTGGTTGTTAACTTTCCAAAGTAGGTAGTCTTTTTGTATTTTCTTTTGGAGAAGAAAAATCAATGATTTATTGCACATTTTGGATACAGTTAGTTTTTTGTATCTGCTGATTATAAATTATAAATAAAACTATATTCTAAAAAAAAGTCTCAAATGCTTGTCATGACATGAACTTTATTTGTTCTGATACCATGTAGAAACAACTCCTTTTGGAATCCTCCACAAGGGGAGAAAGTTTATAGTGTTCTATCCAGGCATCATAATTGAAGGTTTAGAGGAAGGAAAAAGTATAGTGAAAGCAACATCGATGCACACCACCTCAGAAGATTTTTGAATGAAATGGGTTTTTGAACAGTTTGGAAGATTCACAAGGTTTGCATAGTGATTAAGAGTAACCACAACTATCAGATTCTTTCTTAGGTACCTTAACAAAGCAAGAGGACTTTCCTATTGCTGATTTGTTTTGGCGAAGAAGTTAAATTCAATAATGAAAATCAAGATATTAGAATTAGGAGGAAACCTAAAGAGACTGAATCAAAATACTTAAAGGTCCATTATTAAGATAGAAGTGTTTGTGCATGGTGTTATATTAAAGGTATAGTAGATAATCTTTTTCCGCATGGATCATCAAAATAAGTGTTCCTCCTAATTGTCAATCATTCTGGTGATATGTTTACGTATGGCCGTCCTACATGATCGACCCCATTTTCACCTACCAGTCGTGAGTCTGTTATAGTGGAAAAATTGCAAATCATTTGGAAAGTGAGCTTGTATGAGCGATGTAATGTAAATAGCAACTTTTAAACAGAGCATGCACGAGGAGAAATGGGCTCGTGCATGTTCTTACACGCATTTAAAGGAAAAGCCCGGTCATATTCAGAATTCAAACTCCTGAAAGTACTTTAAATATAAAATTATTACATACTGTTCAATAAATGATGTGTTTTTAATTCGGAGTAATTTCATTTGACTGTGCTGGACTGGAGACATCCCATGTCAAAGAAAACTACTGCCACCTACCGGTTTTGTGATGTCATGGTTAGGGTTGTCAAAAGTATCGATAGTCAAAAAAGTATTGATACTGAAACGTTGTATCCGGATACAATACTCATTTTCAAAAGTATCGATACAGCCATCGAAGGTGCGGAATAGTGGAAAATGCACTTTCTGAACACTGTGATTGAATAATTCTGTGCATTTTTCAGTGTCAGACTTTTTTTTTTTTTTAACAGGTGCAGCTGCTGAGAATTAATTTTGCTTAACTGGTTTGGCTAGTGTCATTATTATGTCTGCAAAGCATAGCCAAGGAAGGAACACTTAATTTTAATTTTGTAAGTTTTTTATCAAGCTTGCTTAATACTGGGCACAGCATACAACCTCAAAATATTATTGTTTTTTATTTATTTATTGTATTTTTTTAACAGTGAAAATATTTCTGT